CAACCTCCAGTTGCGACCCTTCGAGTCCCTTCGCGTTCTTTGTCCACCCCCCCTCGTGTAACCTCCGTTGACTCGCGTACCCGTTACGATCTTCCTCGAGTGTAGTGTTACACTTCAGAAACGCTTAAGTCCTTTGAGATATTTCCAACAACAGACTCGGAGTCCCCCTCGGAAGAAGGGGTATATCTAGAGTCACCCGAACCCTCCTCACCATTCCCAGGAGCAGCGCCTTCGCCCTGCTAGCGTTCTCCGCCCTGGCCTCTGCCCCCGAGATAGCAGCCGCGTCCGCCAATCTGCGGCAAACAGCTTGAGTGTAGGTGCCACCCACACGTCCCCGAGCTATACTCCTCCCTGCTCCTCGCCGTCCCCGTCCGCGGTCCCCTGGCGACGACGCGGCGCTAGCCATCGGCGCCCGTCGAGAACGCCCCTGCAGAGTCCACTAACGAGCGCCTCCCCGCGATAGCGTTGTCATGGTCGTATGGGCGGGGGCGATCTCCGGAACGACTGTACGATCGGCGGGCAGGTGATCGCTGGCCCGCGCTGTCTCCGGAGCTGTGCTACCGCTTGCGGACCCCCGAGTGGTGGAGCCCGCCCCGCAGTCTGCCAGTGTGCGACACGCGCCGGCGCAGGTCGTGGAGGCCGTCGCGTCCCCCGCAGCGTGCCCCACAGGCGCCACGAGGGGGCTCGCCGGCCAGTTACCCGAGCGTCGACGAAGCTGTCGCTCGGGTGCTTGCGTGCGTGCCTACAGTGATTCGTGCATTGGCAGCGCCGGCCGCCCCAGCACCAGTGCTGGCGGCTCCCGCAGCTCCTCCTCTAGCTGCTCCCGCGGCTCTCCCGCCAGCAGTGGTGGTGGCGCCGGCGCTGCCTCCCCCTGCCTGGCTGCCGCAGGGGGCCCTAGTCCCTGGGATCCTGTATCGATTGGAGCCCCCCTGGGTCCCATGGCCGGGGGGGACTCCACCAGTGATGCAGACGCCGATTCCGCCAGCGGCGATTCCTCCGCCTCCTCCCATCGTCCAGCCGCTCACGTCACAAGCACCGCCCCCCACGTGGCAGGCTCCGCCTCCTCAGGAAGAGGGTCAGGAGGGGGGGGGACCGGCGGGCAGGGGGAGGACGGTGGGTGGGAGGACCACTCTGGACTGACGGCAGGCGGTCACGGGCGCAAGCGTCAGCGGACGGGGGAGTTTCCACCGGGCCACGTGATGAGCGGGCAGCCCGCGACAGAGGTAGCCGTTCGGGCGGCAGCAGAGGACACGTTGAGCCGTCTGGACTCAGCCAGGGACTGCCTCGCGCGCTTGATGACGGTGGTGGAGGTGCCGGCGTACGCGCTCGGTTGTGCTGACCAGGAGGGCCTGCTATCAGAGAGGCAGGCTGTCGCGTGCGCGACGCAGACGGCAGTGGCGAGGGCGGCATTGACCGCCGCATAGCCCGGGCTCGCTCAGGGAATACCGCTGCCGGTGGGGCCCGCCATCGTCCTGGCGGATCTAGAGGGCAAGCTGGAAGTGGCGCAAGCTGTAGAAGTAATCGATGGCGCCGTGTCAGTATTCCGGGAGCTGGAGCGCGCCGTGTATTGTCTGCTGGAGGATCTCCGCGCATTGAGGTAGTTAGAGATCGCCGACTGGCGTAGTGCTGGTCCGCGGGCGTTAGTCGGCCTGCCAGCTCGATAGCGTGGGTACCTGCATGGTTAACAAACGCCTGGGGTCCTCGCAAGGTCCCCCATTCTGTAAAACTGCCTAGAGGGCCCGCTTGTATGTCCTGGTTGTAACAATGGCCGGTGTGAAGATTCTTGCCATCCCCTAACGTGCGGCTGGAGGCCGCGCCACGAGCAACGGCAGCCGAAGGCCGCCGGCGCGAGCCTCCACCAGCAAGCAGATGAGAAATGAACTGAGAACAAACAAGGACTCAGTAAACAGGGGGAGCTTATATGGGCTCAGGAGCAAGGCTCAGGGGCGCGAGCCTCCACCAGCAAGCAGATGAGAAATGAACTGAGAACTAAACCCCATTCAAACCCCCTTTCCCCCCATTCACCCTACCTCTTTCCCCCATTCAAACCCCCTTTTTCCCCGTTTCTCGGCCCCCATTCCCCCTATTCAGCCTATCTTTCCCCAATCCACATCCACACCTATTTTGTGCTATTCTAGTCTGTGGGTAAAAAAAAACAAGCACTGCTATCCATGGAGAAGCTTATGAATGCCAAGAGGCGTCACAAGGTAAAAATTTGTTAAACACTTTATTAGAAGCACAAAACACAGTTGGACGCCTAGGATGTCACATCTAGTAAGCTGGCTCGGATCCAGATTCTAGAGCACATCACTACCATTTTCCGCTCACAACTTCAACCCAGCTCAGCTACCAAGAGCATTCATGTGCTGCGACTACTGAGTAAACATGCAGCAGCATGACTGTACACAGCAAGGCACAAGGCACCTCTTGTATATGACTGTACACCAGAACACGTCACAGTTACACCAGCAGGAGTGTAGCGAGCGCAAGGCCAACCAAGGCAAGCTGGTGGAACGATGAGGCAGCAGCTCCTGCAAGCGATCACGAGGAACCGACCAGGAAAGGTAATCTTATTGGTAAGGCATTTGGGGGATTATCAAGTGTAGCTGAGCCATCTAACTGTAGTGATCGTTTGGATGTCCAGAGTGCACACTTAGTGTGAGGGAGGAAAGAGAGAGGGGGTTGGGTGGGAGAGGAAAGAGAGAGGGGGGTGGGTGAGAGAGGAAAGAGAGAGGAAAGAGAGAGGGGGGTGGGTGGGAGAGGAAAGTGAGAGGGGGGTGGGTAGGAGAGGAAAGAGAGAGGATAGAGAGAGGGGGGTGGGTGGGTGGGCGGGGTCGTGTGTGCGTGCGTGCGTGCGTGTGTGTGTGTGTGTGTGTGTGTGCGTGTGCGTGTGTGTGTGTGTGTGTGTGTGCACGCACATATGTGTGCACGCTCGCGTGCGTGCGTGTGTGTGTGTGTGCAGGTACGTGCGTGCGTGTGTGCATGCACGCGCGCATGTGTATGTGTGCACGCGTGCGCGTGTGTGTGTGAACATCGGTTACTCGTTGCACATTTCTTCAACAGCGTGGCCATGGGAATGAATTGTATGTCGCTGGTGTACTGACACAGCATGGGTAGTAGATTCCTGACACCATCAATTGTCCCTGCAGGTGTCCCGTTTCTGTGCCCCAACCATCGCATAAAAAATGTGTACGAAAGTGACATCCGGAAACATACCTGAAGATGGACAGTTTGTGACTGCTTGGAGATTTTGCGGATCCTCCGTTACGGTTACGTTACCCGCATACGGGGCCAGGGCATCCATGTTGTAAGGCAAGAGCACCGCATAGCTCTTATACACCGCGATCTCATTTGGAAAGTCCAACACAAGGTCACCAGCGTCCACTTCAGTGTACGCAAAGGGGCTGCCGTCCAGCTGCACGTAGCCGCTGCTGGACCTCGGCAGTGGCGTGGTGGCCTGCTGCTAGGGCAACATGCCCGTTACGTTCCACGTCCCCCAGTTGTACCCACTGTACGACATCCACAGCGGCTGCCCCTCGAGGGTGGGCAGCTCCCATGGGCCTCCGTTAGTGTACTGTGGTGGGAGTGGGAGAGACAGATATACTGAAGAGGGCGAGAGAGGGCGAGATTACTGTGGGGTTGAGATCGACCACTGGTAGAGAAAAGAAAAGAGAGACACGTTCCACGTCCCACCATTTTTGCCCTCTGTACAACAGCCAGTGCCGCTGCCTTTCGAGTGTGGCCCGGGGCTTCTGCCATGGCACGTGGAAGAGTACTATGGCTTGGGGTTGCAATAGAGCAGCAAAGAGGAAGAGAGAGGGCGACATCATGATGATGCCGCCTGACACTTCCGTGCAGCTGCACTGGGACATGCTGTTATGGCAGCCAGAGCGGCTGCTGCTCCCATGGCCTGCGGGAAGAGAACTGTCTTGTGTCGCACCCCAGTGGGGGTGCGTTAGCGTGGCGAAGATGAGAGACAGCGAGCTGGAGAACAGAGAAGTGAATAGTCTGGCTTTCAAAGGAACGGATGGTGTAGACTGCCGCTGGGAGGTGCTCTCATACGTGTGCAAAGTGTCACTCATCGCGGAAATGCTAAGTGCCCAAACTTGTGAGAAAGTGACGAGAGTGTGACATTTCGTAATCGGAAACACAGAAGGGAAAAAGCTTAGGTCTAAGGTTTCTTTCAGGAGTTTCGGGAATGTCACGCGCTAGTGGCGACATAGCGTCGGTATACCCCCCGCAAAGCACCCTTTGCAGTTGCGGGAGAGTGACATGTGAGCTACGGGGTCATGGTGTATGCTTAGCCACAAGGTCATTGCGCCAGAACGGCGAGCACAGCAGCCCCCATGTCGCTCTCATGCTTCGGTCGAACCACCGTGCCACGTGTCTCCGCTAGGGCCAAGCGCCCATCTTATCTATGCCAGGTGGCACCGTGTCATCAACCAACTGTGGCATGACATCTGGTCCAACAGAGTGCGCCGTCTCATACACCAGACCCACTTGACACTCGCCGTATGCCTAGCCGCGACAGGCCGACGCCATTTAGGTCTGACCAATGCAAACTCGCCCACACTACGCGATACGCTGATGCGGGGTCCAATCACTAGCGCCGATAACGCCGCGATGCCGACCCGTGGGCATGTGGCTCCGCACAAAGGTCAAGGCATTTCGACGTCTGTAACGCACATATGTTGACATCTCGTGCGATGCCACCCCCCATCCGACCACCAACCGTTGAAAGCGCCGTGGAATGCGGCAACCAACCACGGCTGCCCGGCGTCGCAAAATGAGAGCCGTCAATTGACGTGCCACGTGTCGGTCATCGCACCACGCAAGGCGGCAAAAACAAATGACGCGCGTGCGCAAAAAACCGCCAGTGTGTGATCCGCATGTTTTAGGTATAACGACCTTTAGAGGCAACAGTCTTGTCCATTATATTAAAAACAAGGCTCGACGCCAATGCGTCGTTAGGGTTGCGTAGCAGCTTGATAGAATCCTGAAATGAAAGAGCAATTCTCTCATGCGAATAAATAGGTAAGAGAGTTCGTTTGTAAGGTAAGCTATGTGCAATTGTTTTTCAGATTGGATATGAGCGTGAACGTGATTTGAAGCCATTAGGGGATTTTGATGAGAAATGTATAAACGAGAACAATGCCATGGGTTTTCTACAAATCTCAACATGAAAAAAAAGGTTTGGTTGAAAAACAACATCAAATGGTGATTATGGATGCGAGGCGTGTACTTGTCTGTAGCTATTAGAACTTATGCATTTTTGTCGAGACGAGAGGAAAAAGATATTTACTGTTGTGGCTTTTTATTCAAGCTTGACTTTTTAGTTGCAGTGTTTCACGTGGGATGATGGTACATTATGGCACACCGTCAAGACAATTGGTTCGTTTTGACGTTGACAATCAAGTTGCAGTGTGACTCCATCTCTTCTCGAAATTTATTGGAACCGTGAGTTTTTAGTTGCATGAGTACACTATCAGCCGAAGGCGGACTGTAGAGTCGTTTGCTGAATTCCTAAGCAAACTTGGGCAGTTTTTTTTTTGGTTGCGTATTAGTTTGTTTAGATCTTGACTGTCAAGTTGCAGTTTGACTGTGCTGTTTGCCGGAACCACAGGCAAAGAACGTTCACTGTAGTCGAAATTTGCTAAACATTGACTGTTTATTTGCATGCTGTCAAGCGAAGGCAAGAACGTTCTCTGTACACTTTTTATTCTATTTGGTCTCACAGTTTTTACACGCGTCTCAAACCTGTAAGCAGGAAATAGTAAAACACAAGGCTCGACGTGAATTGTCGGATGACGTATGCCTAAAATTTTCCCGTTCACAACATAAGTTAGTATTTCCCCCCCACCTTTTTCTTTTCATTTGGGTTGTGCATAAAACTTTTGTGAGTAAAATACTACAAGATTAATGTAGCATGTAACATTACTAACTACTGCAATAATTTACGGTTTCATATAAAAGAAGTGTTGTATTTCTGAAGTATTCGTTTAGATCGGCGGTTTCGTTTCGGGCGGGAACGATTGATTTATCTGCTTCGTGACTGTAACGCTGTACAGTCTCTCACGTTCGACGAGACTCGTTCTCCGTGCGAGAATACAAACCTGAACCAAACTTGAGGTGAGTGTAACCGAAATCGGACTGTAATACATGCTATTTAATAGAATACTTGGGTGTAGTAACTTTGCTGAATTGTACTTTGGGTTTAGCTTTCTGGGGCAAAGCGAATACGCCCCTGGTAGGGCTTGTTGGAGCTTCTTGTTTCTGCTCGTCCTTCCCACTTACTGTACTGTACCTAGTTCTTGCTCTTTCGTTCGTGCCTAGTTCTTGCTCGTGTAGGTCAGTCCTCACCTAGTTGCTTACACCTAGTTCTTGCTTAGTACTCCTTGTACTTGCTCACGCCTAGTACTTGCTCACGCCTAGTACTTGCTCACGCCTAGTCCTTGCTCACACTGACTTCCTTGCTCACACCTAGTCCTAACTCAAAACTAACTCTTTTCCCTTATCATGCCTAACTGCCACCTGGCGCGGAGCCCGTAACCCGTTTCGCGCTGGCCCGTTTTGCGCTGGCGACTTGCGCGCTGGCGCGTTTCTCACTGTCGCCTTGCACGCTGGCACCTTCCACGCTGGTGCGTCTCGCGCTGGCGTCTTGCGCGCTGGCGCGTTTCGCGCTGGCGCGTTTCGCGCTGGCGCGTTTTGCGCTGGCGCCTTGCGCGCTGGCGCGTTTCGCGCTTGCGCCTTGCGCGCTGGCGCCGTGCGTGCTGCCACCGTGCGCGCCGGGGCTGCCGCCGTGCTCGCCGGCGCCGTGCGCGCTAGTGCCGTGCGCTCTCTCCTCTCTCCTCTCTCCTCTCTCCTATCTCCTCTCTCCTATCTCCTATCTCCTCTCTCCTCTCTCCTCTCTCCAATCTCCTCTCTCCTCTCTCCTATCTCCTCTCTCCTCTCTCCAATCTCCTCTCTCCTATCTCCTATCTTCTCTCTCCTATCTCCTCTCTCCTATCTCCTCTCTCCTATCTCCTCTCTCCTATCTCCTATCTCCTATCTCCTCTCTCCTATCTCCTATCTTCTCTCTCCTATCTCCTCTCTCCTATCTCCTATCTCCTATCTCCTCTCTCCTATCTCCTATCTCCTATCTCCTCTCTCCTCTCACCTCTCTCCTCTCTCCTATCTCCTCTCTCCTATCTCCTCTCTCCAATCTCCTCTCTCCTATCTCCTATCTTCTCTCTCCTATCTCCTCTCTCCTATCTCCTCTCTCCTATCTCCTCTCTCCTATCTCCTATCTCCTATCTCCTCTCTCCTCTCACCTCTCTCCTCTCTCCTATCTCCTCTCTCCTCTCTCCTCTCTCCTATCTCCTCTCTCCTATCTCCTATCTCTTCTCTCCTCTCACCTCTCTCCTCTCTCCTATCTCCTCTCTCCGCCCCACACCTCCCTCCTTCCCCGATTCTGCCCCTACCGTGTCTCACCTCACCCTCTCAGGTCAATGCTTTCAACCTCGCAGCAGCCAGCAGTGTGACTCGGTGCGACACTCTGTGCCTCGCCTTTTCTCCGCCCCACACCCTCCTCCTTTCCTTACCCTGCCTGTCCCTACCGTGTCTCTCCTCACCCCCTCAGGTGAATGCGTTCAACCCAGCAGTAGTGGGCAACGTGATGTGCCGCAACCTTATCAACATTGACTGGTGCGTGTGTATGGGCATGGCATGCCTGGCTGTATGTGTGTATGGGGATGGCATGCCTAGCTGTATGTGTGTATGGGCATAGCATGCCTGGCTGTATGTGTGTATGGGCATGGCATACCTAGTTGTATGCATGTATGGGCATAGCATGCATGGCTGTATGCATGTATGGGCATAGCATGCATGGCTGTATGCATGTATGGGCATAGCATGCATGGCTGTATGCATGTATGCAAGGCGCAAAAAAGCGATGGTCGTTTTAAACGGGCCGTTTAATACGATCGTTTTATACGGCTTTTTTTGGAAAAAAACGCCGTTTTTTTGTTCGAAAACTCCAGACACAATTTTTTTATTAATGAGTCCAAAAACTGCATGGCCCTATCCCTGAGGCATACTGCACTGACTACGACAACAGATTCGCCATAAAAGAGGTGGGTAGAGCTCCCTACCCCTATCGCGCTGCCCCTACCGTCCCCCCCCTACTATTCCTAATCCTCCTCCACTTTCCCCGTGAGCAAAGCTCCCTGCCTTCCTCCAGCCCCTAACCCCCCCCTTACTACTTCTACTCATCCTCCTCCTCCTCCTCGTCATCCTCCTCCCCGCTCTCACTCCCGCTCTGCTCCCATGGTGCTCCCCCCTTGCGCCTCTCGTGGGATTCATCCCCCCCGCTCTCACTAGAGCTCCCTGCTTCTTCGTCCTCATCCGAGTCTGCTGCACGCTTCTCTTTGCCCTTCTTGGACCCGCCCATCTTCTTTGCCCGCTTCCCGGCCTTGCGCTTGGCTGACCGCTTCTTCTTCCACCCCCCGGCTGCCCCGAACTTCCTCCAATCGATGGCACAGCCCACGGCATCCTCCCCCTCCTCCTCCTCTGCCGGCTCGGTTTGCTGAGGGGGCGCCTCGGGCACGCTGCAGCCTTCCTTCAGCCTTCCAGAATCAAGGTCGGCATAGAGCTTCGAGCGTAGCTCTAGCTTGAGGTCGAACGCAGCCCGGGCGCGCCTGCTGAAGGCGACCCATGTGATGTCAATCATGGTCTCGGGGCTGAGGTTGTTTCGGTCACGCCGCTGGACTCGAGCCATGGCTGACCACCAACGCTCAACCTCAGACGAGGTGATGGGCTGGGAGAGGATCCTGACCGCAAGCTCCTGCAGCTGGCGCACCTCCTCTCCGTGGATGAGCCACCATTCGGCCTCCGACATCCTTCCGCACTGGACCAGAGCGGAAGCCGCCCACCTCGCGTCCTTCCCCCCCAACTTCCCCTCCCCCTTGTGGAATGACTGCAGCTGTGCTTGCAGCATGGTGCGCCGTCCGGGGTCAGACTCACGTGCCTTGAGCACGGCGTCAACCCCTTTGCGGAGCTCTGTGTCGCCCCACACCTCGTCAGCAAATTGGTTGAGGGGGCTCAGCAGCCACCCCATAGCATGGAGGGGGTTGTGCAGCTGAGCGTCCCACCTCTTTGCAATAATCTTCTTCACGCTAGCCAAGAAGGCGGCTCTGTCCTTCCCTTCCATCAGCTCGGTCTTCTTAATGAAGAAAGTAGCTGTGGAAATGGGGATTGGGTGGAGAGAGAGCGGGGATTCGGGAAGGGGATCCAGCCCAGCATGCAAAGGACAGAGAAGAAAGCTGGGAGGGGGACAAAAGCGGATGACTTACCCGCAGCACTAGCCGCCTCGTTGGTCTTGACCGTGGCCTCGACCATGAGGCCATAGATCTTGGCCATCAGCAGTGCTCGCGTGTCCACTGCTCGAAGGACGTCGTACACTGGCTGCATGAGCCGGAGTACAACGTTCACGGACTCCCAGAACTTCTCCTCCAGCAGCATCGCCCGAATCTCCTGACCCTCCTTTGTCCCACTGACGGCTACCCCCTTCCACTCCTCACTAATGACCAGCCGCAACAAAGACTCCTTCACATCAAGGAACCGGGTGATCATTATCACCTGGGTTCCAAAACGAGTGGCTCCAGGTTTGACAAGTTCGAGCTGGCTGAAAATCTCCCTAAAGAGAATGACGGCGCTCGCACTGTTCTTAACCATCATCACTACCCGCTGCGCCTCCGCTAGCACCTTCTGCACTACGGGGATGCCCCCAATGTCACTCAGCATCAGGTCTAGGCAATGAGCGGCGCAGTTGGTGAAAAAAATGGCCGGAAAGCCCTCCTTCAAAAGGCTGGACGCTTTCTTATTGTTGCTGGCATTGTCCATCATGCACTGGACAACGGCTTTGTCGCCGACTTCGCATATGGCCTTGCGGATCAAGGCCGCCAAGTAAGACCCTGTCTTTTTGGCGGTCTTAGAGTCCACTACATCGACGAGCACCGGGCCGCTCTCGTTTTGCGCAATGACGCATACGATGGCGCGACTCTTCAAGCAAGACCAGCCGTTGACTAATAAGGTGCAGCCGACGGACTTCCAAGTCTCCTTGAGGGGCGACACCAACTCGAAGGTGTCGGCCTTCAACTTCTGGAGCAGGGGCCCCGACACCTTGTATGCCGAGGGTAGCTTGTACGGCTTCCCGTACGCCACTGCAGCGTTCACGAACGCCTGCGTCGCTTTGGACCTGGAGGGTGGAAAAAGGCGGGGACTTAGAGCGAGGGGAGTGCTGTGCGTGCCACGCGAGGAACGGGTGCGAAAGAAATGTTGCGGGAGCATCAATGGCGATAGAGAGAGGACTACTCACTGGGAACACCGGAAGGCCCAGTCATTCTCGGCCACCGCGACGGCCCACAAGTGGTCAAGACGCTCCTTGCCAGCCTGATCCGACATCGCATGGATATCGAGCTGGACTTGTGCCTTGGACGTCGTCGCCTCGCTCGTCGACGTGGAGGCCGAGCTACGCGAAGATCCGGCGGTGTTTCCCTTCTCGCGCATCGTCCGCGCGAGCTCGGAGGTGCACATGGCGATATTCTTTGACTTCGTGGCCGGGGTACCGAAAAGGTGCTCCTGAATTCGTGTGGCGCTTAACGTCATGGTTTGGGTGCAGTGATTACACTGGACCCTAACAAGTTTACCGTCGTCATCAAACGTGCGGGTGACGTGTTCCCACATGCGAGAAGGAGTCCGCGGCATGGCGGAACTGTGGTCTTGGGCGGTGCTGCTACCACTGACTGAGCTAGCTAAGATTCTTAGTCTCTGGAATTTGAGATGCACTCACCTGTTCTGTCGTGCTCCACATTTGTATGTGCTCAACTCGACAATAATCGTGAAGGCCGTTTGATGAAGTCGTTTGAAAGGGTGCACACCTCTGGGGGGATTGGGAAATTTGCGACACGTCAGGTTCGCGATGTGTCGCGTACATCGCGAACTCATTTTCAGGCGCGAAACTGTACACCAGGCCATTAGCGACAGTGGGGTACAGTTCGCACCGGCTTCGCGAATTGGATCCAATTCGCGGATCGACATTGGCGCCAAGTCGCGTTTCGTTGGAAAGTTGTGTCAGGTCGAATCTGACTTTCGAGCGACACCAAAATCGAGTCAGCCAAACCAACATACGCGATATACGTTTTCAATTGTTGGGTACAAAAGAAGCGATCGTATAAAACGATCGCTTTTTTGCACCATAACAAAAAAGGGCACATTGACCGCTTTTTATCGTTTTAAACGACGGAATCTTACGATGTCATTTAAAACGACAAAATCTTGAAAAAAACGCCGCTTTTTTGCGCCTTGCATGTATGGGCATAGAATGCCTGGCTGTATGTGTGTATGGGCATAGCATGCCTAGCTGTATGCGTGTATGCGCATAACGTGCCTGGCTGTATGCATGTATGGGCATAGCATGCCAGGCTGTACGCGTGTATGGGCATGGCATGCCTGGCTGTGTGTGTGTATGGGCATGGTATGCTTGGCTGTATGTGTGTAAGGGGATGGCCTAGTTGCATATATGTATGGGCATGGAATGCCTGGCTGTATGTGTGTATGGGCATAGCATACCTAGTTGTATGCATGTATGGGCATAGCATGCATGGCTGTATGCATGTATGGGCATAGCATGCTTGCCTGTATGTGTGTATGGGCATAGCATACCTAGTTGTATGCATGTATGGGCATAGCATCCATGGCTGTATGCATGTATGGGCATAGCGTGCAGGGCTGTATGTGTGTATGGGCATAGCATGCCTAGTTGTATGCGTGTATGTGCATAACATGCCTAGCTGTATGCATGTATGGGCACAGCATGTCAGGCTGTACGCGTGTATGGGCATGGCATGCCAGGCTGTGTGTGTGTATGGGCATGGAATGCTTGGCTGTATGTGTGTATGGGCATAGCATGCCTAGCTGTATGTGTGTATGGGCATGGTATGCCTGGCTGTATGTGTGTATGGGGATGGCATGCCTAGGTGTATGCGTGTATGGGGATAGCATGCCTGGCTGTATGTGTGTATGGCGAAGCATACCTAGTTGTATGCATGTATGGGCATAGCATGCATGGCTGTATGCATGTATGGGCATGGCAGGCATGGCTGTATGCATGTACGGGCATAGCATCCCTGGATGTATGTGTGTATGGGGATAGCATGCCAAGCTGTATGTGTGTATGGGCATAGCATGCCTAGTTGTATGCATGAATGTGCATAACGTGCCTGGCTGTACGCATGTATGGGCATAGCATGCCAGGCTGTATGTGTGTATGGGCATAGCATGCCTGGCTGTATGTATGTATGGGCATAGCACGCCTAGTTGTATGCGTGTATGTGCATAACGTGCCTGGCTGTATGCATGTATGGGCATATCATGCCAGGCTGTATGTGTGTATGGGCAGGGCCTGCCTGGCTGTGTGTGTGTATGGGCATGGCATGCCTGACTGTATGTGTATATGGGCATAGCATGCCTGGCTGTGTGTGTGTATGGACATGGTATGCCTGGCTGTATGTGTGTATGGGGATGGCATGCCTAGCTGTATGTGTGTTGTATGGGCATAGCATGCCTGACTGCATGTGTGTATGGGCATAGCATACCTAGTTGTATGCATGTATGGGCATAGCATGCATGGCTGTATGCATGTATGGGCATAGCATCCCTAGTTGTATGTGTGTATGGGCATAGCATGCCTAGTTGTATGCGTGTATGTGCATAACGTGCCTGGCTGTACGCTTGTAGGGGCATAGCATGCCAGGCTGTTTGTGTGTAAGGGCATACCATGCCTGGCTGTATGTGTGTATGGGCATAGCATACCTAGTTGTATTGTATGCATGTATGGGCATAGCATGCATGGCTGTATGCATGTATGGGCAAAGAATGCCTGGCTGTATGTGTGTATGGGCATAGCATGCCTAGTTGTATGCGTGTATGTGCATAACGTGCCTGGCTGTACGCATGTAGGGGCATAGCATGCCAGGCTGTTTGTGTGTAAGGGCATACCATGCCTGGCTGTATGTGTGTATGGGCATAGCATACCTAGTTGTATTGTATGCATGTATGGGCGTAGCATGCATGGCTGTATGCATGTATGGGCAAAGAATGCCTGGCTGTATGTGTGTATGGGCATAGCATGCCTAGTTGTATGCGTGTATGTGCATAACGTGCCTGGCTGTACGCATGTAGGGGCATAGCATGCGAGGCTGTTTTGTGTGTATGGGCATACCATGCCGGGCTGTATGTGTGTATGGGCATAGCATACCTAGTTGTATTGTATGCATGTATAGGTGTAGCATGCATGGCTGTATGCATGTATGGGCATAGCATGCTTGGCTGTATGTGTGTATGGGCATGGCATGCTTGACTGTATGTGTGTATGGGCATAGCATGCCTGGCTGTGTGTGTGTATGGGCATGGTAGGCCTGGCTGTATGTGTGTATTTGGATGGGATGCCTAGCTGTTTGTGTGTATGGGCATAGCATGCATGGCTGTATGCATGTATGGGCATAGCATGCATGGCTGTATGCATGTATGGGCATAGAATGCCTGGCTGTATGTGTGTATGGGCATAGCATGCCTAGTTGTATGCGTGTATGTGCATAACGTGCCTTGCTGTATGCATGTATGGGCATGGCATGCCAGGCTGTGTGTGTGTACGGGCATGGCATGCCTGACTGTATTTGTATACGGGCATAGCATGCCTGGCTGTGTGTGTGTATGGGCATGGTATGCCTGGCTGTATGTGTGTAAGGGGATGGCCTAGCTGTATGTATGTATGGGCATGGCATGCCTAGCTGTATGTGTGTATGGGCATAGCATACCTAGTTGTATGCATGTATGGGCATAGCATGCATGGCTGTATGCATGTATGGGCATAGCATGCTTGGCTGTATGTGTGTATGGGCATAGCATACCTAGTTGTATGCATGTATGGGCATAGCATGCATGGCTGTATGCATGCATGGACATAGAATGCCTGGCTGTATGTGTGTATGGGCATAGCATGCCTAGTTGTATGCGTGTATGTGCATAACGTGCCTAGCTGTATGCATGTATGGGCACAGCATGCCAGGCTGTACGCGTGTATGGGCATGGCATGCCAGGCTGTGTGTGTGTATGGGCATAGCATGCCTAGCTGTATGTGTGTATAGGCATGGTATGCCTGGCTGTATGTGTGTATGGGGATGGCATGCCTAGTTGTATGTGTGTATGGCCATAGCATACCTAGTTGTATGCATGTATGGGCATAGCATGTATGGCTGTATGCATGTATGGGTATAGCATGCCTGTGTGTGTGTGTGTATGGACATGGCATGCCTGACTGTAAGTGTATATGGGCATAGCATGCCTAGCTGTGTGTGTGTATGGGCATGGTATGCCTGGCTGTATGTGTGTATGGGGATGGCATGCCTAGCTGTATGTGTGTATGGGCATAGCATGCCTGGCTGTATGTGTGTATGGACATAGCATACCTAGTTGTATGCATGTATGCGCATAACATGCATGGCTGTATGCATGTATGGGCATAGAATGCCTTGCTGTATGCGTGTATGGGCATAGCATGCCTGGCTGTGTGTGTGTATGGGCATAGCATGCCTAGTTGTATGCGTGTATGTGCATAACGTGCCTGGCTGTACGCATGTATGGGCATAGCATGCCAGGCTGTGTGTGTATGGGCATGGCTTGCCTGGCTGTGTGTGTGTATGGGCATGGCATGCCTGACTGTATGTGTGTATGGACATGGTATGCCTGGCTGTATGCGTGTATGGGGATGGCATGCCTAGCTGTATGTGTGTTGTATGGGCATAGCATGCCTGGCTGCATGTGTGTATGGGCATAGCATACCTAGTTGTATGCATGTATGGGCATAGCATGCATGGCTGTATGCATGTATGGGCCTAGCATGCATGGCTGTATGCATGTACGGGCATAGCATTCCTGGATGTATGTGTGTATGGGCATGGCATGCCTGGCTGTATGTGTGTATGGCGAAGCATACCTAGTTGTATGCATGTATGGGCATAGCATGCATGGCTGTATGCATGTATGGGCATAGCATGCATGGCTGTATGCATGTATGGGCATAGCATGCATGGCTGTATGCATGTATGGGCATAGCATGCATGGATGTATGCATTTATGGGCATAGCATGCCTGGCTGTATGTGTGTATGGGCATAACGTGCCTGGCTGTACGCATGTAGGGGCGTAGCATGCCTGGCTGTATGCATGTATGGGCATAGCATGCCTGGCTGTATGTGTGTATGGGCATAGCATACCTAGTTGTATTGTATGCATGTATGGGCGTAGCATGCATGGCTGTATGCATGTATGGGCATAGCATGCTTGGCTGTATGTGTGTATGGCCATGGCATGCTTGACTATTTGTGTATATGGGCATAGCATGCCTGGTTGTGTGGGTGTATGGGCATGGTAGGCCTGGCTTCATGTGTGTATTTGGATGGGATGCCTAGCTGTATGTGTGTATGGGCATAGCATGCCTGACTGTATGTGTGTATAGGCATAGCATACCTAGTTGTATGCATGTATGGGGATAGCATGCATGGCTGTATGCATGTAGGGGCATAGCATGCCAGGCTGTTTGTGTGTATGGGCATACCATGCGTGGCTGTATGTGTGTATGGACATAGCATACCTAGTTGTATGCATGTATGGGCGTGACATGCATGGATGTATGCATGTATGGGCGTAGAATGCCTGGCTGTGTGTGTTGTATGGGCATGGCATGCCTAGTTGTATGCGTGTATGTGCATAACGTTCCTGGCCGTATGCATGTATGGGGATAGCATGCCAGGCTGATTGTGTGTATGGGGATGGCATGCGTAGCTGTATGTGTGTATGGGCATAGCATGTCTGACTGCATGTGTGTATGGGCATAGCATACATTGTATGCATGTATGGGCATAGCATGCATGGCTGTATGCATGTATGGGCATAGAATGTCTGGCTGTTTACTGTCTTATTTACTGTCTTAAGAAATCAATGTGGTCGGCGTGAGTTTTGCCTACTCTCGTTTTTTTATATTTCTGAGTTTCATCCCATGTTCCGCACCAAACCTGAAACCCCAAACGCAATGTCCAACACCATAAGTGCATATAAACAAATTATGTGGTCCACTTTTGAACGTATGTTGTGTTTCTATGATTCACTGGTGTACTGTGCAGGTCGTACAGCACGCGCTGTCTGTTGCAGCCGCAAGACAAAGAACATCTTCCAACACCAATTTCTATTGCTTGTTGGAACATCTTGCGGGGACAGATTTCTGATTGCACGGCGTTACCACTGTTCTCTAATTTGGATATTGGGAACTCCAACTATTAGGCTATTTGCGATGGTGCATGTGTTTGTTTGATTGTTGTTTGCATTTGAGGGGTGTGCATGGGTTTGATAAATACTGTCTGTTTCGGGGTGTGCCTGCTGCTCCTAGTCCCCATGTGCATAGTGCGTGTGGCAGCAAATGTGATAAGGCGTGGATTGTGTCTGCTTCGGATGTGCTGCTTATATGCAAGGTGTTGCAATTTGAGGTTGTCATCGTGCGTAGGGCAACTCTGTTCTCATTGCGCACCCCATCAATCTCTGTTGCAGCATTGACGCATATATGCAAACGTTTCGTAGCACTCACAATCCTATCGTACTTGCATGTTCACTCCATCACTGTATGTATCGACGAGATGTGGTGGCTGGCACGAGGTGTGTTTGGATTGCGTTTGCCCCGAGCGTGCTGCTTATTGGCTAGTTGTTGCAATTAGAGATTGTCATCGTGTTCGGGGCAGTTCCGCTGTCATCGTGCACCCCATCAATCTCTACTGCAACACTATTAATGCCTATATGCACTCGTTTCCTGTCATTTGCAATCCTACAGAATGTTTAATTATACATAATAATTTGTTGAAATGTGTCATGCGGTCTGATTGTTCCATCCGCCATACTTATCGACGCGATGGAGCACTTTGGACATTTCGGATTCATATTTTGGAGTTGCATCGAACAGTTAACTAAATTCTTAAAATTTACTGTTCATATTAATGCTCCGAAATGTGAAACCGATTTTATAGGGTTGCTACGCAACCCAAAAACCCACATAACACCCTATTTCAACATGCCGACGATCCACATACACACGACCACAAAACTGCAAAAAAACCCATAAGATGCTACCTAACGGGGGACCCATGGATGCACAAGAACTCAGGGTCCGTTGAGGCAAGTTGGAGCCACGCAGAGCCGACTGCTCGACATAACATTGCATCATATTCCAAACACCCCTGGGAAGGGTAGAAGCACGCTATCCCAACAGATTTACGTTTTGTCAATGGTAGATCATTGAACCGAGAGTCGATGTCTGCGGGGGGCATATGCCATTAGACATCGTCCGAGGTCGAGTTCCGCCCACTGGCCCGACGCGGAGCAGCTGCGGCAGCTAACGCCGGCCGCCTCTTGCTCTCGAGTCCGCACGCTACGATGTACAGCCCATGGACGCCCCATTCCCACGCGCCCAGGCACGCGTCGTACTCGACACGGTGATCATCACTGGCACGTGACAGCACGTCGCACACGATGATGTGAATCCCATCGACGATTGCAGCGTTGTTGCACGCCGAGTTGGAAAGGCGTGCTTGTCGGCGCCCCTCCCAGTGAATGATGGAATTATCGACCTGCAACCAATGCGTACGAGGAATGTGAGAGCCGCATATCTGACAAGCTCCAAACGCACCAACTCGGCATCTTACCACGTGCTCCAGCCAAGCAATGTGGTACATCTTGAGAACAAGGGCCTCGTTCGCGCCCTTTGGCTTCAGCCTATGGCGAGCAACAGCCGCAAAAGTCCCCGTCCCCCATGGCAGGTAGTGGTTGTTGTTGTGCCACGTCGACAGCACGAGTTCGTCTGCGCACCAGGGCCAAACAAACGAGGAACGATCATACATGTATCGGCACGCGAAGGACCGTACCAGACATGGCATATGTCTTAGCGTCGCGGAAATGCATGCACGCACCCCCCACCTCCCCAGGTGTGCATGTTGGATCTGGAGTATGGGCTGCCGGTCCAGGTGCGGGACTCGGCGCTCAACATCAGCACCACGGACGCCATCCCTCAGAGCGACGTCAACCGCGAGTACTTCGCGGAGGAGCACGACCGCAAGGTACTCCGCTGCTCGTTGTGGTTGTTTGTCGTTTGTGGTCGCACAGCGCCTCCCGTAGAAGCTGCAGCGCACGTAGCACAGAGCCGAAGTACTCGCTGCTAAAACTATGAATCGTCGTTTGGCCAGGCGCAGGCCAGGAATCGAACGACCTGCTGCTGAAGCTGCGGCCCATGACGCTCTACTGCAAGCGCAACCGCTGAGGCGCCTCAGGAAGTTGCCTTTTCCGCTGAGGCGCCTCAGGAAGTTGCCTTTTCCGCTGAGGCGCCTCAGGAAGTTGCCTTTTCCGCTGAGGCGCCTCAGGAAGTTGCCTTTTCCGCTGAGACGCCTCAGGAAGTTGCCTTCGCCTCAGGAAGTTGCCTTCGCCTCAGGAAGTTGCCTTCGCCTCAGGAAGTAGCCTTCGCCTCAGGAAGTAGCCTTCGCCTCAGAAAGTAGCCTTCGCCTCAGGAAGTAGCCTTCGCCTCAGAAAGTAGCCTTCGCCTCAGGAAGTAGCCTTCGCCTCAGGAAGTAGCCTTTGCCTCAGGAAGTTGCCTTAGCCTCAGGAAGTTGCCTTAGCCTCAGGAAGTTGCCTTCGCCTCTGGAAGTTGCCTTCGCCTCAGGAAGTTGCCTTTTCCGTTGCTCTGTATTCCCATGCCTCCTTCCCCAACCGCCCCGCCTCATCCTTCCCCTTTCTTTCGAACCGGGGACGAGCAGGGTTGGACTATGAGTCGTCGTTCGGCAAGGCGCAGCCCAACGACCTGCTGCTGAAGCTGCAGCCTGCGACGCCTTACTACAAGCGCAACTGCTGACGCGTCCAACCCTCCCACTCCCTCCCCTTCCTTTTTCTCCCCTTCCGTCCAAACCAGGGTCGAGCGGGGCTGGACTATGAGTCGTCTTTTGGCAAAGCGCAGCCGAACGACCTGCTGCTGAAGCTGCAGCGCACGACGCTGTACTACAAGCGCAACCGCGCGCACATCTGCTCCTTCTTCGTGCGCGGGGAGTGCACGCGCGGGGCGGAGTGCCCCTACCGCCACGAGATGCCCATTACTGGGGAGCTGGCGCACCAGAACTTCAAAGACCGCTACTACGGGTGCGTGACGAAATTGGGCTCCTCCCTGTAGTGTAGTGTAGCTCGGCCGTGGGGGTTGTAACTCGGTCTTGGGGGTGGTAGCTCGGTCTGGGAGATGATGCGTGGCCAGGAAGATGATGCGCCTGGCGGCAGAGATGGCCGTCGCTTGCTCGCGTTCTTAAGCTGTCCCTTTCTTGCCCTCGTGGCGTCTCCCCCCCGGCCATGCAGTGTCCCTTTCTTGCCCTCGTGGCGTCGCCCCCCCGGCCATGCAGTGTCCCTTTCTTGCCCTCGTGGCGTCTCCCCCCCGGCCATGCAGTGTCCCTTTCTTGCCCTCGTGGCGTCTCCCCCCCGGCCTGTCCGTCATGCCACCTGCAGTGTTGTCAGCCATGATAGGAGTCTAGTTTTGAGGCGCCTCAAAACTAGCCCCCCCGGCCTTTCCGCGTGCCACATGCAGTGTTGTTAGCCATGATAGGAGTCTAGTTTTGAGGCGCCTCAAAACTAGCCTCCCCGGCCTTTCCCCGTGCCACATGCAGTGTTGTTAGCCATGATAGGAGTCTAGTTTTGAGGCGCCTCAAAACTAGCCCCCCCGGCCTTTCCCCGTGCCACATGCAGCGTTGTTAGCCATGATAGGAGTCTAGTTTTGAGGCGCCTCAAAACTAGCCCCCCCGGCCTTTCCCTCATGCCACATGCAGTGTGAACGACCCCGTGGCGAAGAAGATGATGCGGCTGGCGGCGGAGATGCCGTCGCTGGAAGCACCGGAGGATACGAGCATCAAGACGCTGTGGGTGGGGGGTGTGGACTCGAGAATTACCGAAGAGGACCTCAAGTGAGTACATTACGAGATGCCCTTGGTTATGCACATGCTACCAGCACCGGAGGATACGAGCATCAAGACGCTGTGGGTGGGGGGAGTGGAGTGGACTCACGCATCACAGAAGACGACCTCAAGTGAGAATCCTTGGCCCAATGCGAAAGGACTTTCTCGGTCCTGTGCTTAGGGTAGGCCTTTTAGCACCATCCCGAGGATACGAGCATCAAGGCGCTGTGGGTGGGCGGAGTGGACTCGTGAATCACAGAGGAAGACCTCAAGTGAGTCTGCTTGTTAAAGCTTCTCTGGCGCGTGCCTGTTGTATCATGCTCACTCCATCACCACGGGAGAGCCCGAGAAGCAAGACACTGTGGGTGGGCGGAGAGGACTCACGGACCAGAGCAGAAGACCTCAAGTGAGCTCCTTGCCGTCCTGTGCTCTCTGCTGTATCATGTGCACCCACTACACTATGCTCACTCTGCAACCTCCCACGAACACGGGCATCAAGGCATTCGTTATGGGTGAGGGGGGGGGGGGGGGGGGGGGACTCAAGGATCACAGAGAGCTGCTGAGTGAGCGTGCTGAGTGAGCAGGGCTTCAAGTGAGCGTGCTGAGTCCGATGCTGATTGCCCTTTTGAGTCGACTCATAAGCATGCTGAGTCCGATGCTGGTTGCCCTCTCGTTGGGTGCCAGCCAAATGCCTGGTAGCCCTAAACTGTCCCCGTCTCGCCTCACCTCACCCCCCTCTTTTGAATTGTATGAATGAATACTGGGAGATCGAGTCAATCCGCCCTTTTCCTAACCGCTTCCACTTTCACTCCCCGTTTTTTAGGCGCCTCAAAAATAGACTCTTCGCCCTTTTCCTAGCCCCTTCCACTTTCACTCCCTGTTTTACCCCCTCCCCTCCATTCCCTCTGAACTTGAGGAGTCTATTTTGAGGCGTCTCAAAAATAGACTCCTCTGAGCTTCATCAAACTCATCTCCCCTATACCACTCACTCCTCCCCCTCCTCCCCCCCCCCCTCCCACCCTCCTGCCTTCTCCTTCTGTTTCAGGGACAAGTTTTACGCCTATGGCGAGATCGAGTCGATTCGTCTCATCACCCCCCGCAGCTGCGCTTTTATCACATACACAACGAGGGAGGATGCAGAGAAGGCGACGGAGGGCCTAGCTAACAAGCTCATCGTGAAGGGGATCCGGCTGAGGCTCGACTGGGGCCGGCCGAAGCAAGAGGGAATAGAAGGGGGGGAAGAGGCGGGAGGAAGGAAGATGCTAGAAGGGGGAGAAGGGGGAGCGGGTGGCGGGGAAGGGGGAGGTGGAGGCGGGGGAGGAGGAGGAGAGGGCGAAGGTGGTGGGGAGGGTGGTGCAGGGGGCGCTGATGGTGCTGGGGGAGTGGTACAGGAGAGGGCGTGGCTGGGGCTGGCTTCGGGATCTTGCCTCGGAGTGGGGTAGGTTTGACGGTAGGTCCGGCGACGTCTGCATCGATGTACCCATCTATGAATCCTGAGAGGATGGGGGCGCGCACACGGAACAGGGAAGGGGGGGAGGGAGGAGGTGGGGGAGGAGGAGGAGGGGGAGGGGGGGGCGGTGGTGGTGGTAGCAGTGGTGCTGGCAGCGGCGATGCTGCTGCTGCTGCTGCTGCTGCATCTGTTGCTCCCGCATACCAATACCCACCGCATGCTTACCCCCCTCCTGGCCATGCCGCCTATCCCGCCACCTCCCCTCCCCAGCCTTACCAACCTCCCCCAGGCATGCCGGCTCCAGGCGCCCCTCCCCTTCATCCAGGGGCCTACCAGCACCAGCAGGGGCCATACCCCGATTCCTACCCCCCTCCCATGGGTTACCCCCAGCAGCAGCAGCAGCAGCAGCAGCAACAGCACTATCAGCAGCAGCAACACTATCAGCAGCAGCCGCAGCAGTATCAACAGCCCCCATACATGCCGCCCCCCTCCCAGTATGCTCCACAGCAAGGCCCTCCACCCCCATACCCAGGTGGTCCGTCAGGTGCTCCGCAACAATACCCAGGTGGTCCTCAGCTGTTCCCAGGTGCTCAACAACAGTACCCAGGTGGTCCTTCAGGTGGTTCGCAACAGTACCCAGGTGTCCCGCCAGGTGCACAGCAGCAATACCCCGGACCTCCTCCGCAGCAGCCCTACCCTCCCCAACAGTACCCTGGGCCCGGGCCAGCAGGTCCGGGGTAATACGGTCCTCCCAGGCCTGGTGCCGGGCCTCAGGGTTAGGCTTGCAGAAGGGTGCAGAGCAGTCGGCTGTGGCGGACAAGGGTTGTGCGAGCAATTCACGTTTTTCTCAGCTCCCCCTGAGCCGTGCCTGCAGCTGAGAAGGGTTGTACTCTGCTTCACTATCGCTTACCCTTTTTGGCCGCTGATATGGTCTGATCCGGTGGTGGGGCGCACTGCACGTGCTTGTAGCGAGGCAGCATGTCGATTGAGAGGTGTGTGTGCATTCCGTACGACTCCTCAGCCGGGAGTTCCGTTCCGTGCTGTGCGAGGGAGCAGGTGCGAGGGAGCAGGTGCGAGGGAGCAGGTGCGAAGGAGCAGGTGCGAGGGAGCAGGTGCGGGGGAGCAGGTGCGAGGGAGCAGGTGCGAGGGAGCAGCTGTGGGTGGTCCTGTCGGGTTTGCTTTGCTGCTTGCGGATTTGAGGAACGTCAGCGTGGGACACCATGTCCACTGTCGTTAACGCAGAGTTGGTTTGAGGAAAGTCCTGCAGCGCACAAGGCATGGTTTCCTGCCTGCCTGCTTTTGAGTCGACTCAAAAGTCCTGCAGTGCACAAGGCATGGTTTCCTGCCTGCCTGCCTGCCTGCCTGCCTGCCTGCCTGCCTGCCTGCCTGTTACAGGTGCAGCAGTCGGGATGGCTCTTTGTACCATCGGACGGTTTTACTTGCATCTGAGATCATGTCTCATCTGGTAGAAGGATTCAGAGCAGTGTCTCTGTTTCAGATACCGTCTTTAATAGGGAGGTACAAAGTGGCACATTGTTACAAGGCGAAAGCGAACTCACCCAAAAGTTCGCCAACTCAGCGAACTGTAGATTTCGAGGTTGGATTTGTCCAACCAAAATTGTGCGCCTCGAACTGAACAAGTCCGCAACCCCAAAATTGTACAGCTGCCCGTGAGTCACAGCACGACTCTAGAGCAGATTCCGAGAGCTAGCAAAGCGTGGAAAGCGCCAGCGCAACCTAGATACTAACTACTGCAGCTACTACAAGTGCCAGCAAAGACTACAATCGACATCTACAAGGTGACGAAGACGCCAGCACTACTTGGAAAATGAAAACTACTTGTATAGTTAATTCCTATTCTTGTTTAGCTATTTCCTAGGAGAGACAACAAGGCAAGGCTACTTGTAAATAATCATGAGCTTGCTTGCTTGTCTCCAGCTAGGATAGAAATGCCAAGGCGCCACGGGCGACCTTATCTAGGCGCCTTTAGGAGTATCAAGATGCCAAGAAAAGATTTCCTAGTATAAGTGTGCTCTCTTCTTTGTTGGAAGCTATCATATGATCTAGTGATTAAGCTAGCACTCTTTCTTCAAGGATCTCTCAAATCTCTACTCCTACTAACAGCCCCAGAGCTGTTATACACATGGCCTTATTAGGAGTCTGTACCACAACACACCCCTGTTGCCCCCTCAGTCGGTCGCACATTTGGAGGCCTAGTAGTGCCGCATGCTGTGCGCTTGCTCAGATCTAATCCCCACACAACAACACACCCCTGTTCCACCTACCACAGCCTCACATCATCCTATCTACCAACAGCATTCACGCACCACAGCAAAGCTTGCACAATACAGCAGCACGCTCCCTCAGCGTGCCATGGCAACAAGGCACGTCTCGTACTCGTGCTAGCATGACTCTGTACACCAGAACAAGGCACGTCTCGTACTCGTGCTAGCATGACTGTACACCAGAACAAGGCACGTCTCGTACTCGTGCTAGCATGACTGTACACCAGAACATGTTACGGTTACACCAGCAGGAGTGTAACGAGCGCCAGGCCAAGCAAGGCCAGCAGGTGGAAGATGGAGGCAGTAGCTCCTGGAAGGAAATAACGAGAAATCAACCGTTGTGGTGGAAATTATTGGTGAAGCAGTGGTGAGGAATCATCAAGCGCAGCTCAGCCAGCAGTCTCTGAGCAGTGGACTGCACTGAATGTTCGATTGACCCGAGTGCAAACGGTGAGTGTGTTGGGAGGGGGGGAGGGGGAGAGAGGAGGGGGGAAAGGGGGCACGCAGGAGCGTGAGTGTGTGTGTGTGTGTCTCTACTGGTGTGTCTGCATGCTTACCCGCATACGCGCTAAGGGCATCCATGTTGTACGGCAAGAGCACCGCATTGCTCTTATAAACAGCGACCTCATTCGGAATATCCAGCACGCTGTCTGCAGCGGTCAGCGGACTAAACGCGAAGGGGCTGCCGTCAAGCATGGGAAGGCCGGAGCGACCTTTCGGGACCGGCGTGTTGGCCAGCTGCTGAGGCGACATGCCCGACACGCTCCAAATCCCGCCAGTGGACGACAGCCACAGCGGCTGCCCCTCGAGTGAGGGGAGCTCCCAGGGGCCTCCGTTAGAGTACTGTCACGTGGGAGAGGGGGAGAGATACATTGGAGAGGGTGACGTGCCGGACACGTTTTGAGTCGACTCGGAAATATATGGAAGAGGGTGACGTGCCTTTTTAAGTCGACTCAGAAATACATTGAAGAGGGTGACGTGCCGGACACGTTTCGTGTTGCTGAACGGGAAAGAACTTGCTTTTAAAGCAGGAGCTCCAATATATACAAGCACACGCGGAGCTCGAGCTCTTCACCTTACTAGTTCGAATGTATTAGCATCTGAGTTCGAATTTCAGAAGAACTCGGTAACACACTACCTTTTGCGTGGCGCGGGTGGGCGGGATGTATTTCCTCACGAGCAGGAACTTCCAAATACCACTCATCGGCGGGCGAACGCAACAGGAACTATTGATTCGGGAAAGAAAAATAAAAAGAAAACCCGAGGCTCACCTTTTTGGTGGCGACGGCGGGCGGGATATACTCCTTGACGATCTGAAACTTCCAGATGTCCGTCAGCGTGCCGGCGACGTTAGGAGGGACGCCCTGGAGGGCCGTGGACCACCCGCTATCGCTTGCCCTTGACGCCTCGTTCATGGCTTTGAGCGCGTCGTACACCGCCTGGTTGTATTTGCGCGTCGAATTGTCCTGCGCAGCGTAGCTAGGGGCCGCCGAACTGATGACGTCTGACCGCGCGATGAGAATGGTCACACCGGAGATGTCCTTGGTGCCGTCCAGCGCGAAGAGACGCGCCACGAGGCTTTCTTGGACGTCCACGTCCTTAAGCTGAGCCACCAATTGGGCCACCGGGACTGCGCGGGTCGAGGTGGGCAGCTGGGAGATCAGCGCGACAGCGAGCAGAAGCGCAGCGCTGGTGCGGGAAAGAAAGCTGGCCATGGTAGTACTCGTAGAGCCTGATCGTAGACACCTGGATATTCACGTTACGTGGCGGTGGGGAAATCGGTTGAGAATTGGAGGTGGTTTGACGGACGAGAAAGGGCAAGAAAGGGGACATTTTATGCACAGGTGAAGGTATGGATGAGGGTTCTGGATGCGCGCCCAAGATCCAGGATGCGGGAACATCGGGCGACTTTTGCGATTTGCGAAAGAACAAAAGACTTTTCGCCGATGTAAGCTTGTGCAAACCTCGATGACTTCTTGCCAGCGATGCACGTTATTCGCATGGCGAGATCCCCCCATCAACCCCGAGAGATCGTTGACTCTTGGCCGAAGCGAGCGACCACACCGATTCTCTCGAGCTGGACATCCACATCAGCGTACTCACGGTGTCACATGGGCTCTGCCCGCCCCGCTGGCAGCCCGACTTTGAAAGCTTTGAATATTGGCTAGTGTGAAGGCACAAACCTATATAGTCTCCAATTATATACTACGTTATGTTTGACACACCCCCTAGAATATATAGGGGCAGTGCCTAACAGGAGAACAAGCAGTCAGGGTAATAAATATATATACATACATACATATATATATAAAGGGCTGTACACAATCAAGGCCCTAGCAAATGAGAGGCTACAGGAACAAGACCAAGTTGTACACAGTGCCGTTGATGATCTTTAGGCGCAAGTGTCTTCGTAAAGATATCAGCTGTATTGTCACCAGAGGCCAAGTGTCCTACGCGGGTCTGGCGACGCTGATGTAGCTCGCGCAGGAGGAAGTACCGCAGCTGGATATGCTTCGCTCTGCCCTCAAGTTGAGGCTCCTGACGCAGGAGGATCATGGCCCTATTGTCAGCGTACAGGACCGGGGCAGAGCTAGGCTGCTCACCTAGGTCGGTGAGCAAGAAGGTCAGCCGGCAGAGCTCCTGTGCCGCCATGGCACCGGCGTAGATCTTAGCCTCGCAGCTGGACTGTGCAACTGACGAGGAGCGGGTAGCTCTCCACGAAATGACACCTGAACCAAGGCTGAAGCAGTAGCCCCGAGAGGACCTGAGGGTCTCAGCGTCGTCTGCCCAAGAAGCGTCTGTGTGTCCAATAAGGACCACTGGCCAGCGTCCTCGCAGCACTAGCCCCATGCCCGATGTACTAGCAAGATAACGCAAAACCCTCTTAGCGGCCGACCAGTGATATGGTCGGTGTTTGCCTGTGGCCACAAAGCAAGCCAGGATGCTGAGAGGGTATGCGAGATCTGGGCGAGTGCAAGTCAACAGGTACATGAGGCAACCCACCAACTCTGCGTACGGACCACTCGGCTCTACTGACTCCTCAGGAACACGAGCTGAGAGCCTATGATCCAATGGCAGGGGTGTGGGCTGTGCGGAGGAGAACTGAAGACTGAACCGCTGAAGGACCTGGCACACCAAGTGTGACTGTGAGAGAGTGATGGTGCGCGCTGCTCTGTCCCTGGAGATCTGCAGGCCAACGTAGTGGCGCAGTTCTCCTAGGTCAGTGCAGGTGTGTCTCTTCAGCAGCTCCGCCTTCACGAAGGCCAGCGCGTCCCTGTCTGCAGTAGCGAAGACCAGGTCGTCTACGTAAACAAGGATGTAGAATGGGGTCTAGCCAGCACGAATGAAGAGCGAGTGGTCGGCAGAGGATGGAAAGAGCTACAGGTCCTCTAGGGTAGCATGTAGCGTGTCGTGCCACTTACGGGGTGCCTGTCGCAAGCCGTAGACTGGGTGCCGCAGGAGCCACTGGGTCCTAGGAGGGAAGGTACCGGTGAAGCCCTGAGGGCGGCGCAGGTAGACCTTCTCATGTAGGCTGTCCTGAAGTAAAGTTGTGTAGAAGTCGAAGGAGTGTAACTCGTAGTCGCGCTGTGCTGCTACGTGTAGCAGCGCCCGAAGAGTAGTCATCTTCGGGGTCGGCGCGAAGGTCTGAAAGAAGTCCACCCCCTTACGCTGACTGAAGCCTCGAGCCACGTAGCGCGCCTTGAACACAGGCGGCTGTCCAGGGGGGCACTTCACCTTGAAGAGCCAGCGGCCGTCGACTACGTTCACCCCAGGTGGGGGAACTGCGTCGACGTAGGTGCCGGTGGATCTCCAAGATGCCATCTCCTGCTCCATGGCAGCTATCCACTGAGAGGCCCAGGGTCCCGAGGTGGCCTCAGCGTAGGTGCGAGGGGTCGGGATGTCGAAAGCGTATGGGTCACCCTCAGGGACTAGCAGCATGGAGCAGAGATGGGGAGCAGCCTCGGACAGGAAAGCAAGCTCGTATTGTCGGTCCTCCAAGACGTCACTGCCGAGGGCAGGTGCACCCCTGACCGACGGTGGACAGGCAGGGTCAGAGACCAGAGCGGTGGCGTAGTCAAGGCGGCGGGTAGAGGCGAAGTCAGCGACAGCAGCGACAAGAGCGTCGAGACGCGAATTAGGAACTGATGGGTCGGTAACGAGGGAGGCAAGGACCCGAGGATCAAGAGGACGAGCTGCACGAAGGTAGTCAGACAGAGGGGGAGGCGCGATAACAAGTGAGGACGGAGGAGGCAACGGTAGGAGGGGAGGACGAGACAAGTGGGAACGAAGCAACATAGGGTGAAAGCGCCGCACAGGAGAGACCGGACGAGCACGAGAGGGACGGTGAGACCAGACGTGAGACGGGGGCGTCTGGTTAGGAGACAGAGGAGGGGACACAGGAGGAGAACGAGGGGGAAGACGAGCCGGAGACGAGTCCGGAGGAGGGAACACAGGGTCGTAGACAGGAAGAGCAGGAGACGGTAGGAGAGGCATAGCCGCGCGGTCAGGGGATGGAAGGCAGAGCAGGCGGAGGGCGGACACCGGCGGCGACTGCTGCTGCTGCGGCTGCAGGACGCCGGTACTTGAACCGCCAGCTGCTCCACGACAACCTCCGGAACACTCCACTCCAGCACACCCAGAAGGAACACCCCCAGAACTAGGAATGCTCTCAGCACTGGCACCACCCCTAGTCATGCCGGGGGAAGCCTCGACAGGAGCCCCAGGACTAGCACCCTCCTCAACGCCAGCACCCCCAGAGGGCATAAACTGCTGCTGCTGTGGCGACAGCAGCATTTGCTGTTGTGGCGGCTGCGACGACAGATGCGGCTGCGATTGCAACGGCGGAGGAGGAGACACTAGGGAGAGGGCAGGCGGCGAGAACTGCGCCGCAGGGCCACTAGAGTCAGCAGGCTCCTCAACCGGGACAACCGACTGGAGGGGGGTGACGTGAGACACACCAGACTGGGCAGGGCGGGGAGGTGGGGAAGCAGGGGTGACCGGGGGAGGAAGGACCAGGAATAGGGGGTGGGTAACCGGAGGACCACGGGCGTGAAAACGGTCGTAAAAGGAGACGGACTCGTCAAAGATGACGTCGCGAGAGTGAAGGAAACGGTGAGACGGTGGGTGGTAGAAGTGCCTGTCAGACGAGTCGAGGGGAAAACCTAGGAAGACACAGGGGCCGCCATGGCACCGGCGTAAATCTAAGCTTCACAGCTAGACTATGCAACAGACAACGAACGAGTGGACCTCCACGAGATGACACTTGCACCAAGGCTAAAGCAGTAGCCCTGTGATGACCTAAGCATCTCAGCGTCGTCGGCCCATGAAACGTCTGTGTGCCCTATAAGGACCACTGGCCTGTGTCCTCCTACCACTAACCCCATGTTCGATGTACTTGCTAGATAACGCAAAACCCTCTTAGTGGCCAACCAGTGTTGTGGTCGCGTGTCTGCCAGTAGGATGTTGAGAGGGTATGAAAGATCTAGACGAGTGCAAGTCATCCAGTATATGAGGCAACCCATCAGCTCTGCGTACGGACCACTAGGCTCTACTGACTCTTCAAGGACTGGAGCTGAGAGTGTGTGATCTATTTGCAGATGTGTCGGCTGTACGGAGGAGAACTGAAGACCGAACCTCTGAAAGACCTGGCGCACCAAGTGTGACTGTGTGAGAGTGATGGTGCACGCTGCTCTGTCCCTGGAAATCTGTAGGCCAAGGTAGCGGTGCAGCTGTCAGTGCAGGTGTGTCTCTTCAGCACCTTGGCCTTCACGGAGGTCAATGCGTCTCTGTTTGCCGTAGCGAAGACCAGGTCGTCTACATAGACAAGGATGTAGAACGGGGTCTGGCCTGAACGAACGAAGCACAAAGGGTCTGCAGACGACGGGAAGAACTGCAGGTCAGCTAAAATAGCACGAAGCATCTCGTGCCACTCGCGCGGCGTCTGCCAGAGGCCGTAAACCGGGAGTCGGAGAAGCCACTGGGTCCTCGGGGCGAGGTGCCGGTGAAGCAGGGCGGGCGGCGTAGGTAGACCTGCTCGTGCAGACTGCCCCGAAGAAACGCTGTCGAGAAGTCAAGAGAGTGGAGCTCGTAGTCACATTGTGCTGGTACGTGTAGCAGCGCCCGAAGAAGTAAACACCCTCGCGCTGACTGAAGGCTCTAGTGACGTAGCGCGCCTTGAACACTAGCGGCTCTTCAGGAGGGCGCTTCACTTTGAAGAGCCACCGGCCATCGACTACGTTCACCCCAGGCGGGGGAACTACGTTGACGTAGGTTTCGGTGAATCTCTACGATGCCATCTCCGCGTCTATGGCAGCTATCCACTGAGAGGCCTAGAGTCCTGAGGTCGCCTCAATGTAGGTGCAAAGGGTCGAGATGTCAAAGGTGGCTAGGTCACCCTCTGGGACTAGCAGTATGGAGCAGAGATGAAGCGCGACCTCGGACAGGAACGCAAGCTCGTACTGCCGCTCCTCCAGAATGTCACTACCAAGGGTAGGAGTACCCCCGACACACGGAGGATGGGCCGGGTTAGAGACCAGAGCGGTGCCGTAGTCAAGACGGCGGGTAGCGGCAAAGTCAGTGACGGCTACGACAAGAGTGTCAATACTGGAAAACGGAACCGACGGGTCAGTAACAAGAGAGGCGAGGACCCGAGGAACAAGAGGCCTAGCGACACGAAGGAAGTCAGACAGGGGAGGTGGAGCGACAGCCAGCGACGACGGAGGAGGCGATGGGAGGAGGGGAGGACGAGACGCGTGGGAACGAAGCAACATAGGGTGAGTGCATTGGACAAGAGAAACAG